GGGAGTTATTAAGTAGGTATACTGGTAAGAAAGTGAGGAAGACAGGACAGTGCAGAGGGAGATGCTGGTCCTCAGTGAAGATACAACAGAGACTCTTGCCAATCTACTGGAAGCTCTGGAGCTGATGGTCATGCAGAAACCTGACTCAAGGCAAGGAGACTAAGATTTAAAATCCCAAGTCAGCCAGTCATTGATGGTGGGTCACTTCCTTAAAAGGAAGAGGACCCTGGAGAGGCAGCTCTCTGTGATCCAGAGCAAATTTCAGTGAAAGCTGCAGCAATTATTGAATTCCCAGCAGCTGGGAATACTCATTCCCTCATACTGTCCCTGAAGAGGGGATCTGGGCAGAGAACCACCATGTCCACTGATGACAGGTAAGAGACCCAATCCAAAGAAGGGGCCAGGGGTTCAAAAGGGTCTTGGGTGTGAGAAGGAAAACTGGGAGCATCTAGGGCAGAGAAAGGAACATCCCCCCAGTAGGGACAGCAAATGGAAAGATTTTTAGTGAGTCTGGAGCACTGAGTGGCGAGGCTAGAGAGAGAGGCAGCAGAGGGATCCCAGGCCTCAACCTTCAATGGAGATTAGGGCATGTGTGGTGCTGTGGTATGCCGATTCCCCTGTTTAACCTTTCAGAGGGCATTCTTGTTCCTCTCATTCCTAAGTTTCAGTGGCAATGAGTTATTATGTCCCAAAATATTGACAAGAGTCTCTGAATAATTAAGCATTATGGATAAAAAGCCAAGAAGAGCTCAGCACCTGGAAGTATAGGGATGGAATAGCCAAGAACATGCCATGTAATATGCTCCCTCCACCTTGTGCTATTTTCTCTGCAATTATTGCCCTACCCTATTGTATCCAGCCACAGCCAGAGAACTAACAAGGGAACTGGCCTTGGGTCACCTGGAACCACAGAGGGTTGGAAATCAACACACTGCATAAAGACAGCCGAGGACAGGTAAGGGTTAAAAGCAAGGTGGCATGTGAGAGACGTTTCTGCACAATTCCATCCTGGTTCTGTGGGTCTTTGGGAAAATCCCCATCCCTCCCTAGACTCCATATCAGAAAGCTAGATTCAGTCCTCTGAGTTCACTGGAACTTGATTCTGTATTTGTTGGAAAATATTTTATAACATTTAATGAAAGCAAGACCTTGCCCTTTGATGCCGAAATCAGTGCAAGGTCTTCCTTTCTTTTGAGCACGATTTGCAATGGTAAAGCAAGAGAGAAGCATGGAACCCAACAGTCTAAGATTCCTTTCTGAGTGGATGATACGCTGTTCCATTTTGACATGGAACCCCTCAAAAAGAGTTAAATTCGTTCACCCATCCTTACCCTCAATGGTCACATGAACAAGCAAGTTCAAGTTGCCCTTTCTAGCCCCAGCCCAACTTCTTCCCTGGTACTTTCTTCTCCATTCTCTCCTCACTTCATCTCCTCCTTGCAGGGCATATTACATGCTTCAAAAAAATACTGATTCCTTATTCCAGGCACACATATGGTAAGTTTGGTCTAGGCGATAAGTAGAGAGACTAATACTGAATTATAGATTTAACTTTGTAAGACAATTACCAATCTATTATTTATAACTAAGAAGAACTCTATCAATCCTCTGTCCTCAATTTTCCATAAAGTAAATGGGTGATTCTCTTAATAGTTATTAAAGGCTACTCTGTCAGATACCAATACAGAGTAGCAGATTATACCTATTACTTATTTAACCAATGTATTTCCTTAGCGAGTTGAACTAACACTGTATTAAAACATAATATCTATTTAACAGATATACTCCTACATCAACTATTTATTCTCAATAGTAAATTTGTTTTGCAGAAAGCCACTGCCTCCCATATTGGCCAGGTAATTCTGGACCAGCATCTTTTGGTCAAGTCACCCAAGGGGCTTCCACATGGACTATGCTGCCTATATGTTAGTAACCATCCTTCATCCCATCAACAGCACGTGTATGGGCTGGAGGTGCAGCAGGAAACAGTGAATGATCACAGGCTTCAGACATCCCAAAATCTAGTTACAGTCTCACTGCCATCACTAGCAAGCTGAATGAGCTTTGGCAAAATCTTCACCTCTTTAAGCTTAGTCTATTCACCTGAAGAATGGGGCTACCTGTAGTACTGCCATGAGGATCAACTACTATAGTGAAGCACATAAATGTGCTTGGTAAAACTAAAAGCACACCTTTAGACAATTGTTGTTACTGTTATAAGACATGTCAACCTCTGCCCTTTTGGTTTTCTATCTTCAATTATAGCACAAATTTCTCTAAAAAAGAGCAGATGTTATCATATATCATCAGTCCTTGGTATAATACCTGGCACATCTCTGATACTCGGTCACTGAGTGAATGAATCTATTATTAGTGATAATTTTATTTTTAATTATGTTTCAAATAAAATAATTACAATGCAAATGATATTAATGGATAATTTGGCACAAAGATAGGAAATATTATACTGCACATTCAATAAATAATCTATAAATTAAAAAAATCTACACAAGCCCCTGCTAAGTGCTAAGAGCTGTTCTAAGATGCTAGGGACATGAAAACAAGATATTCAAGGTTCCTATTCCAGTAGCAGGGGCCCAGTAAGAGGGAAAACACTAAATAAACACACATATCAAGATAATCCCGAGAGTTTTAATAGAGGGGAGACTCGGCTACTGAGGAATTATTTCTCAGAGGAGATGATACTTATCTGGGATTAGAATTTTAAAAGAGAGCTTGGTCCCTGAAGTGCTGGAGTCAGTGTATTCCAGCCAGGAAGAATAAGTACAAATGGCCTCAGACAGGAGCAAGTTGGAAGTTCATGACACAAGCAGCAATTTAGTGTGCTGCAGTGAAGTGAGAAAGAGATAATGGTTTGGTTGAGGCCAGAGTCTGTACCGTGTTGAACTATATTAGGGAATTGGGCTATTAGCTTAAGTGGAGTGAGATGTGAGCAGAAGCTTTTGAGTTGAGGAGACATGATCTACTTTACATTTTTAAAATTTCAGACTGGTTCATGTGTACAAAAGATTTGTAGGGGATAAGAAGCTATTCCAGTAACCAGAATCTCAGTTTGGATTCTTCAAGAAACAAACTCAAGTAAAAATCCAAATGCAATTAGTGTATTTAGGAAATGCAGTTATACCTTGGTCAAGGCAGGGAGAAGTTATGCAAGAATTTCATTGGTAAATTTTGTTAGTGATTGCATCAAATCTATAGATCACTTCAGGTAGCATGAACATTTTAACAATATTTATTCCTCTAATTCCTCTAATGAAAACAGAATGGCTTTCCAGTTTTGTGTTCTCTCCCATTTCTTTCAATGTTTTATAGTTTTTATCATAGTGATCTTTCACATCTTCAGTGAAATTTATTCTTAGGTATTTTACATACTTTATAGTTGCTATAAATGGGATCACTTTCATGATTTCTCTTTTAGATAATTCTCTCTTGGCATATAGAATTGCTTCTAATTGGGTTAATATTCAGAATATGTAAGGAACTCCCACAATTCAATAGCAAAAAAATAAAAATAAAACAATCCAATTTAAAAATAAGCAATAGAGAGACTGATGGAGTGGCTCAAATGGTAGAGAGCCTGCCTGACATGCATGAGGGCAAGCTCAAACCCTGGTACTACCAAAAATAAACAAAAATAAGCAATAGACATTTCTCAATAGAAGACATGCAAATATATGAAAAAATATTCAGCATCACTAATCATCAGGGAACTGCAAATGAAAACCACAATGAAATATCATTTCACTCCAGTTAGAATGGATACATCAAAAAGAACAATGATACCAAGTCCTGGAAAGGATATGGAAAAAAGGGAACCCTTACACACTGCTAGTAGGAATATAAAACAGCACAGTATGGAGGTTCCCCCCCCAGAATAAAAATAGAACTACCTTATAACCCAGCAATCCCACTATTGGGTATGTATCCAAAGGAAATAAAGTCAGCATGAAGAAGCATCTGAAGTTCCATGGCACTATTCACAATAGCCAAGAAATCAAATCAACCTACATGCCCACCAGCTGATGGATACATGAGGAAGATGTAATTATACATACACAATGGAATACCATTCAATCAAAAAATGGATGAGATTCTGTTCAACATGGGTGGAACTAGAGGTCATTATATTAAGTAAAATAAACCAGGCCCAGAAAAACAAATACCACACAATCACTCATATCTAAAAAAGTTGATCTCATAGAAGTGGAAAGTAGAATAGTGCTTACCAGGGGCTGAGGAGAATAGGGGGAATGGAAAGATTTGTCAATGTGTACTAAATTGCAGTTATATAGAAGAAACAGGTTCTGTTGTTCTATCGCATAGCACGGTGACTTCAGATGATGATGTGCTGTATATCTCAAGAAAGCTAGAGGAAAGGATATTGAATTTTTACCCAAAGAAATGATAAATTTTTTAAGGAAAAAGATATGCTCACCCTGATTTGAACAATATACAATGAACACATGTATTGAAATGTCACATGGTGCCCCATAAATATGTATCATTTTTAATGTGTCAATTAAAAATAGTATGTGTGAGGAGATTCTTTGAAATGATGCATGTATCTTGTTCTTCATAAATTTTCACCTGCAGGTTTAAACATCACTTGATGATTTTTACCTGAATCAATAATTGCAGTGATGACTGAAAAGTGATTAGTCCTAAGTTTTTGTTTTCATTGTCTCAAGCTATGCTGAACTTTGAAGCCAGGCTGGATCAATAAGGCTGTGTAATGTCTTTTATACCTGTCTCTGCCTCCTGAAGTCTTTTTATCATCTTTTGTCATCTCCACAAGGCTTAACTTGTCTCAGCAGAAAGGTAAATTCACAGGACTATGAGGGAGATTTATGGCACAGGTTCATGATATCAAATGCACTGAATTTGTCTCCACATCCACCATTTTCTAGCTCCACAGAAATAAGAAAGTTGCCAATGAAGTTGGTGCCATTTTATGTGCCTTCTATACCTGGAACTTTACCTCAATGACCTTCATCCTGATCTTGTTCTAAGGACTTACCATGTTCTCTTTTTCTCTGGACCTGGAGCCTAGATCTTTGATTTTGAAACCAAATTTGGACTCTTGATTCAGGAACCCCAATTTCTTTAGCAAGTTGTTGTCTGGAATCAATCCCAGGGTAAGGATTGCTCATAAATGCCTTGATAGGGATATGTAACTGAGAACAGCTGTAGCTGGTACGATGCTGTCTGGCTCTACCTTGAATCTGTTCTTGAAGGTGATCTCCTTCATGTTCTTGACTTAACTCTAAAGCCTCCTTAACTTCTTGTGTTTTCTGGAATGGGTGCCTAGCTCATCAGTTCTGAAACCAAATCCGGATTCTTGACTCATCAATGTTGATTTCCAAAGCAAGTTTTTGTAAGGTAGCATAATCTAGGTAAGGTTTTTGGTTGAAAGCGTCAACAAGGATTTTCAATTGCTCTTGTGTGAATTTGATGCAATTGTGCCTCTGATTTATTGGTACAGTCTTGTTTGAAGAGTTGTCTTGAGCCATGTGGCAAGAGAGTCCTCATGCCCAAGCATCCACCTAGGAGACAACAGGATGTTAATAATGCTGATAACATTGTAGTTAAAAATAAACCAAACATGCGCACTTTTGTTTAGTCTAGCATTCCTCAAACCTCCTCTGATATGTACCCTGATTTTGAGAACTCTATTCACGTCCCAGAATGAGTGGTCTGAGAGACATCTGAAAATCCTGTAGGCAACTAAGTCAGCATACCTTGATCTCAGCCTGTCTTAGTCACCTCAGACCTGGACTGGCTCTGTGTCCTTTGAACATTTTCCATGTACTCTCTGAAACCCAACCTCCCCCATTATCAGGATGGCATTCACTACTATTTCATACAACCAGTGCTCATTGACCTTCTATCAGGACCAGGACCAGGTCTGGGGCTTTCAACTACGTGGCTCCAGGTGCTCAACTCCCAGAAGATGCTACCTGTTGCTTATTTCCCAGGGAGGCCACCTGCTGGTCACTCCACAAACCCTAGAGCTTTCTCTTTTATAAGAATCCACTCAAGGCCTTTACCAAAGCAGACAAGAAAAATAATTATTTGTCTACTATGAATCCTAATGCCAGCTGAGACGCTAACCTGGGAAAATAGCTAACTGTTTATTTTGTGGGACCAGTGCAAAATAAAACAATGTCAGGACTCTTATTCCAAATGTACAGGTAGGTATGCAGCTAAAAGTACTACAATATAAAGCTTCTCTCTAAAAATATTGTATTATTTTTTAAAGCATAATAGGGAGACAGTGATCTTATAGGTAAATATAAATGTATGAATTACAAAAATATGGTATCATAATTTTATCTAACTCAATAAGTAATGCTTAATGATGTATGTTTGTTGGTCACAAGTTTTTCTGGCTTACTTTTCTGGAAATTCATTTATAAGTTATCAAAATCTATAGCATCTTCATTTTCTTTGTTCAGTACAGAAGAGCACTCCTTTTTATTAGCTATTATTATTTAATTGTACATATGTATGGGATATAGTGTGGCATTTTGATACATGTATGTAATATGTAATGATCAAATTAGAATAATTAATATCTCCATCTCTTTATCATTACTTTATGTTTAGAGCCTTCAAGCTCCTCCTAGTTATTCACAAGCTATTGTGAACTACAGTCATCCCACTGCACTATAGAACACTAGAACTTATTATTTCTATCTGTATTTTGCTACCTATTGTCTACCTACCTCTATCTCTCTTCCCTCCCACCCTTCCCACTAATCACTATTCTCCATTCACACTAACTTTTTTAGCATGCACACATAACAAGAACATGCAATATTTGTCTTTCTGTGTATGACATGTCATTTAGCATAATGTTCTCCAGTTCTTTCCATTTTGTTGCAAATGAAATATTCTTTTATAGCTGAATAATATTCCACTGTGTATATATTCCATATTTTCTTTACCATTTCCACTGATGAGCTATTGTGAACTGTACAGTGAATAAACATGGGCATACAGGCATCTCTTTGATATACTGATTTTATTTTGATTTTTTTATACCCAGAAGTGGGATATCTGGATTATATGTTAGATCTAGTTTTAGTTTTTTGAGGAAACTCCATACTGTTCTCCATAATGGCTATACTAATTTACATTTCTACCAACAATGTGTTAGAATTCCCTATTTTCTACATCCTCACCAGCATTGGTTATTTTTCATCTTTTTCAATACTAGCCATTCTAACTGGAATGAGGTGATTTCTCACTGTGGATTTGACTTGCATCTCCCCAGTGTTCAATGAAGTAGAACAATTTTTCATAAATTTGAGCAACTTCATTTTCAGTTGCTATAACTAAAAGCAACATCTCCCTCTTAGCAAATGCAATACCACAAACAATTGAGTAATTTTTAATTTTGAGAAAGATTTTTCTGCTGATGACACTGTTTCTGAAGCTGTTAAGAATATTTTATACGTTGTGACAACATTGGGATAAATTTCTGATAAATTATTTCAAAATACAAATTTTAGTACATCTGAAGCTGATGATTATTACAAAACAATTTTTCTAAAGAGATTTTAATTTTTATTCAATTTTACGTGTAAATTCTTGCAGTGGCATTTTAATATTTCCCCTGAAATTTTAAGTGAGTTGTAGAGGATTACAAGAAACTGAAAGTGGCTTCAGGATTTGGATATCATTCAAAACATCTGTGTAGGAGTTATACAGCTGTATCTTCAACTGCATGGAAAAATTAATTTTAAATTTTTCCCCTTAGGGACTGTCTGGGGGAAAAGGTCAGTGGGAGAAGGTGGGGGAGAGGAAAGGACATGAGGGGTGAAGCAGATGGAAGTACGAGGCATATATACATATGAAAACAGCATAATGAAACTCAACAGATACTGTTTGAAATAGGGAGGAGCAGGAAGAAGCAGAATGCAAATATAATGGAAGGAGTGTTTTAGGTACACCATTCACATGTATGGCATTATCAGATAAACTCCCCTTATGTTATTAATGTATGTTAAATAAAAACAAAATTAAATAAAAAATAAAATTAAAAATTAAAAAATCCCCCTTTAATAATTAGTTCATTCAAAGCATTATATAAAAATAGTGTTATTTCCATCAAATAGAATGACCTTTATTTCTCTTTCTCAGCCTGTGGAATTTGCTCTGCAATGTTGCAACAGTTTCAAGCCCAGAAATTCCCACCTCTGAAGAATTATAATAACTCTTTGGTGTGCCTTATTGAAGTGTCCACATGTACACTTTATTTTGCAATAATTTGCTGACAAAGTATACTATCCATCACCCATAGTCCCTGCTCTGGTGCTCAGGCTAGAGAGTTCCTATGTACATAGATGCTACAGAGACAGACTCCAGTCAGCCTTGCAATGCGGACGCCATCACTATCCCCCATGAAGCTCCTCTTCCCCCCATGTCATGCCACTATTGCTGTTGTGTGTGCTAATGCTGCTACCACCATTGTCAGCAATCTGGGCTTGCACCCTGAAAGAGCCAACCTCTCAGGGCCCTACAACACCCCACACTGCTCCAGGCACGTGTGTGGGGGGTGGTTAGGCCAATTGCCCAGCATACACACTGCCCACTGCCTACTATGCTGAGGAGCCTGGGCTACTCTTGCACATGGGCCTCCTGGCATACCTCCTCTGCTCACAAGCATGTTCCATTGTAACATGAGGCTTTCTTAAGGTCATATGTCCAAAGACAAAATTATTTTAAATTTCATGACATTGACAGAAGAGCAGGAAACCAAAGGTCTCACTTCTTCTGAAAGTAGGGCCCTGTACTACTGCATCAATCTCATAGTCGCAAACCCAGCATCAATATTAGCACTCTTCATATTTCCCAGAAATCCTATGACATCCTTCATTACAGTTCTGCAGACCTACTGTGTGAGCCTATCCTGAAGCACTGCCCTGACACACATAGCTTGGCCTGGGACCTGTCCCTCAGATCCCTTCCTTGCCTGCATCATAGAAAGGGGTTTGCCCTGCTGGATTCTTCAGAACCAAACATTGGCCCTCCTTCCTTTGACTTCTAATTCATCCCCTGCCCAATAGGGTACCAGCTTTACTCTCAAAATCCTCCTTTGTTGGGTGATCTGATCCTATGATTTCTTTTTTCCTGCATCTCTGCCCACTTTATTCTTGCTGGGTTCCAAGTTGGTTTTTCTAATGGCAGTAGGTTTAGATTTAAAAATAAACAAAGAAATCAAAATTGTGATAAGAATTAGCCAGGAGCAGTGACTAATGGAGGTGACTGTGGATTAAGTGACTAAGCGGAGAGTGCGCCAAGTAGCTATTAGGAGATAAAGTTCACAAAGATAAAGAGAAAGCACCATGCTTCTCTGACCACTTTCCTGGACCAGCTTTCACTGCTCTCCACTTTTCTTGAAATGTTGGATTTTAAATAAGAACCATCTTCTTTCTCCTCATTAAGATAGCCCCTTTGAATGTGTCATGAAAAGATGGAAACTAACTTCCTTCAGTACCCACCCTATGTCAAGCACAGTGCTGGACACTTTATCAAATTCTATTTGCTCTTCATGACAATTCTTGGTCATAAAGAGCAAATGGAAGTACCATTTGATCCCCTCCCAGAAAGGCACAAGTCAGGGCATTCAGAAAGCTTGGCTCACAGTGACCCAGGAGACTGGATGGGCTCTGGGCATGGTGATAAGGTATCCTATGAGGGTGTCTGGCCAACCAAAGTGACAGGCTGAATAAGGTCACTAACTCATAATGGGCTAGCTCAGAAGAGTGAGCTATCCAGCCAAGAGTTTGAGTGACCCAGGGGACCCTCCACAGTAGACCACATGAAGAGGATGGAAGAAAGCCAACAAGAGCTAGAGAGCTCCCTAAACTGGAGGTTAAAGACTGGATTTACATGGTAGCCACAGCTGCTGATATGAACATCTGGCACCCATTAAGTAAGCCAGGGGTGGGTATTTGCCTAAACAGGCTTTTATCACCATTTTATAAGTGAGGAAACAAAGACTCATGAAGGTTAAATAGGTTGTCAAAAATCATACAAGAGAGCCCAAATTCCAACCTGGACCTGGCACATGAAGCTCCCATCTTTAACTGTGTATGACATTGTAGCAAGGGCTTATTTTACTTATGGTTTTCCCCTCAGCTGAAATACATGAGCACATAGACACCTTGATCTTAGCAAAGTGATCCATTCAAGCTGACCTGGCCAGTCTAGGAACCCTGACACTGAGTTCAGAAAAGAAATTTTAACTTATAAACCAAAAATTTACAAAATAAAATAAGAACAGGCCAAATTTTTCTCTGATTGCCAACACAACTTGTTACTCTGGTTCTTGCAAATCAGTTTTCAGACTACTGTCTCTTCTCCACTTTGAAACAAAATTCCATTTCAAACAAAGTTTATCAGTGACTCCTTTGACCAAGCTATGTTTGTCTTCTTCCAGAAGCAATGGATACCATTGATTCTGTGGGTGAAGCCCTTACAGCAATTAGGAACTTACCAAGAA